TAGCAGAGCAGACAGTCTGCTGGTTTGTTTCCTCCGTGTCGATCTTAAAATATCTCCAAACTGCCGATATGTTACTTCTTCTTCTTCTTCTTCTTCTTCTTCTTCTTCTCTTCTCATCGTTCTTCTTCTGTTATTCGGGGGTGCGGTCGGAAATAACTTGTCAGTGCATTAGCGCCCCCGCCTGGTATGGATTGTTGTTTACCCTTTGTGCTGCAGCGCAGCACAGGAGGAACAAAAAAGGGGACAAAAGCGGTATCGGTTAAGAGTATCGGCCGGCTTTTACGAGTACGAGTACGAGTACTTGATGCTGGTATCGGATCCGGTATCGGGACACCTCTAGTTTTTGGGGTTGGGGGAAACCGGATTACCCGGAGAAAACTCACGCAAGCACAAGGAGAACATGCAAACTCCGTACAGAAAAACCCCAGGTCCGAACCGGGGATTGAACCCAGGACCACCTTGCTGTGAGGCGTCAGTGCTAACCACTGAGGCACCATGCTGCCAAATTTAAAACAGTACCATTAAAAATGGTTGTATTAAAGATGTCTGTTATTGATTGTTCAGAGGTCTTAGTGGCTGAAGAAGTGAAGCTGCTGCACATTCTGGTTAAAAACCTCTGATTTCTTTTACGTCTTTGAAAATGGTTTTCACACGACAGAAAGAAACCACATCTTTTCTTATCACGTGATCCAGTCTTCCTGTCTGGTTGTCATTTTTACATGTGATGCAAGTTGTATAAATGTTCTCAAAAACAGTCATATTTTTTTATCTACTGCTTATTGATGGTTTATTAAATGTTTACAGCTTAAATAAGAACCCGTTTACTGATTATTAGTAGCGGTGGGCGATCCTGGTAATTTTGGTATCGATCTGATACCAAGTAAGCAGGGTGAGTGTCATCAGTATTTACACAGATACTTTTTACTTGAAACGTCCTGTTTATTGAATAGTTTGAGTTTGCTTTTTATTAGTCAATTAAGATAAAACACAGGACAAAGATTTAGGCAAATAAAAGTTTTTTTTTATTACCAAACTACAACAATATAATGTAAAAGTATAAAAATAATAAAACATTGCTTTTATTACTTTCTAGCACACACAGTCTGTATAAGAAAAAGTCACTAGTGCAAAATAATAAAAACAGCAACAATGTAACAAAGATATAAATATAATATTAACAACTAACAAAATACCTTCCATTGCACACAGACATGATGAAGAGGAGGAGTTTTGGCTAATAACGCCAAACAATTTGGAGACTCACCACTATAGACTTAATTTTGTTTTAGTTTTATTCATTTAATTTAAAAACAAAAACAATTTTCTTATACACAACAAAAAAATATACAAATCCAAACTGAAATGAAAGGTGGCAGAAAGAAGAAAAAAGATCTTATATCTGCCCCTTTTTTCCATAATTAATTTCAAGCAATAATAATCAAGAAACAAAACAAAATAAGCTTCAATTCCTTCTCAAACAACAACTTTTGACAGACATTGTACAGTTTCATATTTCTTTAAGAAACTTATTTTTATCATTCCCTTAAAGAAATACATTGAACTGGCATTTTTATAATCACTTTCCAGATTATTCCACAATCTTATTCCTTGAAAGGAAGGTCCTTCAAGTTTGTTCAAATTTTAGGTTTAATAAACATCTCAAGTCCTTTAAGATTGTAAGAACTTTCTCTCTTAACAAAATAGAACTGGATGTTTAAAGGTAATTTTTTATGCGCCTTATACATAATCTGCAAGATATTATAATCAACCAACTCATAATAATTTTAATTTAAAAAGTAATATATTCGAAGGGTGTAATTTTCACTCTGTTTGAGAAAAAATAAAGTCAGTAGTGCAAATAAAATGACAAAAGCGTCGACGTAATCATGCTAGAATCAAGCCAGTACCGATGACCGTCTTGGTATCTATACATATATCGAGACACCYACCCCTGATTGTTGGGCTTTTATAGGAGTTGTGTCATTGTAAAGTTGTACCAAACATAGCTTGGAAAAATAAGTGTGTATTGTGTTTTAATCTAATGTGTGTTTACAGGTTGCTTTTCACATTGAGCCATACAAAGGAAGAGATGAAGTCAACATGTTTACTAATGTCAAATATGTTATTGAAAAGTGAGTACTGCCATGTTTTGTCATTTTGTAATCCCACCTACAAATATACTATTATGGTAAATCTATACGTGATCAGTGTCTCCATTGAATATTTCTTGGTTATTTATTTGTAACCTTCAGATACGGAGAACACCCAGCATTTTTCAAGTACCGGACAAACACTGGCAAACTTCTTCCACTTTTTTACGTGTACGACTCGTATTTGATGAACTCGGAGCAATGGGCCAAGCTACTGAAACACACAGAGAGCGGCAGCATCAGGGACACCCCGTACGACGCCATTTTCATCGCCCTGCTGGTTGACGAGAAGCATAAGATAGATATACTGACGGCGGGGTTCGATGGTCTCTACACATACTTTGCCACCAATGGGTTTTCCTACGGCTCCAGTCAGCGGAACTGGGTCTCTATCAAAGCTTTCTGTGAGGACAACAACCTGATCTTCATTCCAAGCGTGGGTCCGGGATATGTCGACACAAGCATTCGGCCGTGGAACTTTCAGAACACCCGAAACCGGATCAACGGCAAATACTACGAAACCTCGCTGAGCGCCGCTTTGGAGACCAGGCCGGATTTTATCTCTATAACATCTTTTAACGAGTGGCACGAGGGGACTCAGATCGAAACGGCGGTCCCTAAAAAAAGCCAAACGGTGTACTTGGACTATCTGCCYAATAAACCAACAGCCTACCTGGAGCTAACACGCAAATGGGCCATCATTTTTGGTGGTGAGAGACAAAAATGGCAGGAGTGATCATAGCAAAATATTCATTCATATGAATATAAAAAATGCACAACAAAATACAAATGATTTGTTAAAAGTTAGAATTTTTGTAACACAGAGCAGATAATGACTTTATTATCCTGATTTTGGCTGAATGATCATGATTTCTTTCACTTGAGTAAAATACTGTTAATCATGTGTTTGATTCAGAAATAATCAGCATGATTTATCAGTGGTACCACCTGGAACTGAAAGGAACTTTTGTTTTGCCTTTATGTGATCTGTGACTTTTTTAGTCAAACTCTTACACATATAGTGCACTATTTGAAGAAATAAAAGAATAAGAAGTTAACAAAAGCTGCTTTTATCTTTTCATCTTCACCTCAGCCCAAAAAAACCCAAAACGAGTAATTTCAAAGGCATGCCATATTTATAACGAGTCATACTGAGGAAACGACAATTGTGCAATAGTTCACATGGTGTCTGAATGTAGATGTGGTGGCACGGTGACAAAGTGTTTGCACTGGAATTCACTGGAATAAATGCTTTGATTAGATAACGGAAGCTCTTTTTGTTGCGGGTTTTTTTTTTTCACATCAATGTCGTCCACATTTTTTGACATTTCATTCTCTGCCCTCCAATCATCGTTTGGTCCTTTCTGTTTTCACAAGCCATGACAACGCACTGACATTACACTCAGCCCGTGTCCTCGTTATTTAACTTGAGAAATAAGGGGAGAGAATGAGGGCAATTTGGAGGGTTACATTTGCATTTAGGAGGCATTTGTGATCACTCGCAATACGTGATTCAAATGGGTGTGTTGTTGAGACAGCTCAGCTCATTTGGTTAAAGAAAAACATGCGTCAGAAAGACAGTAGGCACCATTGGATAATCTAAAGTAAAACCTGTATTTTATGAATGTTCTTCACAGCGTCTGGTTATTTACGGAACCCTTGAGAAACTGGGCCTGTTTGCCCACAGGAAGAGTTGAAATCAATGTGAACTGTTTTTTTAAATGGCACTGAGGAGACTGCTTTAATGTAAAGGATGAACTTCCCATTCTGAGAGGAGATTTTCCCATTACAGAAATGTCAGAATCATTGGAAGAGAATGCACTTCAAGTCTCAATGGTTCATTGTTCAGTCGTCGAAGCACACTGGCCAGTTGTCCGTTCTGTATGAGCTGTGTGATATTTTCATGCTTCATGCACCCCTTTACTGAGCCCTCTGTGTATTTTTTCCACTGATGCAGCCCCAAAGAAGAATCGTTGGCCTTGCATCTAACAGCTTCAGATGTTGCCTTTTTTTCATAACTGTGGTGATTAAGTTTATTCAAAGCACAACAGATTGTAGTTGTAGCCAAAAGAACCAGTGTGAAATTATGCTGACAACAGTTTATCTCTCTGAATCATAAACATCCAGATTCCTTTGTGCTAAATTTGTTTAAACTAAACAAATTGCTTAAAGAGAAGTCAACTGAAAATTGCTCTCTCTAATAGGGACACTTGTGTTTTTAAACAGAAGCACTCATTTTTGAGCATGCAGTATGGAGAGCGTGCTAAAGAAAAGAATCAGTCTAGATTGATCACATGTTTAGAAGCTCAGCCCCAAGGCAAGTGAGCGGTATGTCTCTACTTTATAATTTTAGTCAACGTGCGATCAGTACACGCAGAGAAGTAGATGGAAGAACAACCCAACACATAGACAAACATTGATTACGTTGATAATTGGGATGATTTGATTAGATACTGGGTTTGTTAACTACAATGTCTGCAAGAGGGATGATAGTGGCTGATCTTTTTACATTCTGAGCCTTTCCCCAGTGAAAATCGGTTTCACATTTTGAAACTGTTGTCCATCCATCCATCCATCCATCCATCCATCCATCTATCATCTACTTATTTTGAAGTCAGCCTCAAATATTTGCATTGGATTTATTTAAAGGGATCCCTGATTAGTAGTAACATTAGACTTTATTCAATAAACATATTTTAACTTTAAAATAAAGACTGTAAAAATACTGTAGGA